GGAAAAGAGGTAAGGAGTCCGAAATGTACCTTGTGACTCCACATTGGGGAAACCCACTTGTAGTGTATAAGATGAACTAGATGGACTCATACTTATCCAAACATGGATTAATAGCTTTTACACATGACTATGAGGACAAACATGAGTGAAACGGTCTCAATCCAAGGGAGGAACATCAAATGGACCTAATTTGGGAACCAAGAGAGGTAAGGAGTCCGAAATGTACCTCTGTGACTCCACATTGTGGAAAATCACTTGTAGTGTATAAGATGAACTAGATGGACCCATACTTACCAAAACATGGATTAATAGCTTCTACACATGACGATGAGGACAAACATGAGTGAAACGGTCTCAATCCAAGTGAGGAACATCAAATGGACAAAATTTGGGAACCGGAAGAGGTAAGGAGTCCGAAATGTACCTTTGTGCCTCCACATTGTGGAAACTCTCTTGTAATATATAAATAGAACTAGATGGACCCATACTTACCAAAACTTGGATTAATAGCTTCTACACATGACTATGAGGACAAACATGAGTGAAACGGTCTCAATCCAAGGGAGAAATATCAAATGGACAAAATTTAGGAACCAGAAGAGGTAAGGAGTCCGAAATGTACCTCTGTGCCTCCACATTGTGGAAACTCACTTGTAGTGTATAAGATGAACTAGAAGGACCCATACTTACCAAAACGTGGATTAATAGCTTCTACACAAGACTATGAGGACAAACATGAGTGAAACGGTCTCAATCCAAGGGAGGAACATCAAATGGACCAAATTTGGGAACCGGAATAGGTAAGGAGTCCGAAAATGTACCTCTGTGCCTCCACATTGTAGAAACTCACTTGTAGTGTATAAATGGAACCAGATGGACTCACTTGTAGTGTATAAATGGAACCAGATGGACCCATACTTACGAAAACATGGACTATAAGGTTCTCCACATGACTATGAAGACAAACATGAGTGAAACGTCTCAATCCAAGGGAGGAACATCAAATGGACCAAATTTGGGAACCGGAAGAGGTAAGGAGTCCGAAATGTACCTTTGTGCCTCCACATTGTGGAAACTCACTTGTAGTGTCTAAATGGAACTAGATGGACCCATACATACCAAAACATGGACTATATGGTTCTCCACATGACTATGAAGACAAACATGAGTGAAACGGTCTCAATCCAAGGGAGAAACATCAAATGGACAATATTTGGGAACCGGAAGAGGTAAGGAGTCCGGAATGTACCTCTGTGCCTCCACATTGTGGAAACTCACTTGTAGTGTATAAGATGAACTAGATGGACCCATACTTACAAAAAAATGGATTACTAGCTTCTACACATGACTATGAGGACAAACAAGATTTAAACGGTCTCAATCCAAGGGAGGAACATCAAATGGACCAAATTTGGGAACCGGAAGAGGTAAGGAGTCCGAAATGTACCTCTGTGCCTCCACATTGTGGAAACTCACTTGTAGTGTATAAGATGAACTAGATGGACCCATACTTAACAAAACATGGATTAATAGCTACACTACACTAAGCAGATAGTCTATGCTTGCTTGCCTCTCTTCGTCGCATTTCCAATCTTTTTCAATGTGTATTGGTTCGTCGCTTGTACTCTTAGCTCTTCTTGTAGCGATGTCCTCCCTCTAGCTTACAGAATCCTAGTCCTAGTCTTCGTCTTCTTGATCATCGGGATCATTGTCTGGATCCAAGTTGCTAATTGGCACAGAATCGAGCTCACCATCCACATCATCGGCGTTGCATCGGATGCCTTGTCCAAAAACTTGAAGCTTTTTCTTGTGTTGCCGTTGCTGACACTCGGCTTGGTGGTTTACTATGCGCCGATTGTGGTGTTCTTGGTGTTTGCAAGGTTTAACGGAAAGTTTGTGCCGAGAGAATCTGATGGTGAATACTCTTGTGAGTGGAAGCAAGATTCATGGGTTCCTGCGTATTTCGCACTCGCCATCGTAACGATGCTCTGGTCTCTTGCTGTAATGGTGGAAATGCAAGTCTATGTGATTAGTGGAGCAATCTCTCAGTGGTATTTCTCCAAGGAAGACTCCATGCCTAAAAAATGCATCCGTACTTCTTTGAGGTATCTTTGGTTTGGTTCCTCTAGTTTTTTTATGTGCAGTGTTTGCTTACAATCAACTGTGGCACTCTTATAGTTTATATCATTCTCGAAATGCTTTGTCCACTTTAGCACTATATCTTGCCGTTTTTGTATTGAACCCCATCTTCTATCTTCTAATCTTGTTTGTTACTTCCAACTGAATCTGCTGTGCGACTCTAAACTATCTCTACTCTATATATATCTTCAGGAACGCATTTGGGCAATCCTTTGGTACAATATGTCTGTCAGGAATTCTCATCGCCGTTGTTCGTGTAGTGCGAGCCATTGTGGACAACGCAAGAGAAGAGAACCCACAGGGCATAGTGAACTTGGTTCTCCGTTGCTGCGCAAGCGCCCTACTTGGAGCTATCGACTATCTCAACAAGTTCACAATCAACTTCGCTGCAATCACCGGTGAAGCCTATTGCACCTCTGCCAAAATGACTTACGAACTCTTAAGGCGCAATCTGCTCTCTGCTGTCTTTGTCGAAACAGTTTCCACTCGGATCCTAACCGGGATTGTCTTTGTCCTCTCATCCGCTTATGCAGTCGCGGTGAGTAACAAACTTGTGCTTCTCACCAAACATTTTTGATCGTCTGAGTTACTAATGATAATGTGATAAATCAGACATGGGCAGTTCTGAGAGGAGTGAGCAACTTGGGTAAAGATTCCTACCTGGTGGCAGTCCTCGCATGGCTAGTGTTGATTGTGATATTGGCTTTCCTTGTAAATGTTCTTGATAATGTGATCGACACGATCTATGTGTGTTACGCCATCGATCGAGACAAGGGAGATGTTTGCAAGCAGGAAGTTCACGAGGTCTATGTTCACTTGCCTATCAGCAGAAGCAACAGATCTCCCCTCATCCCAAATGCTCTTAATGCATAGATGAACATTATCAATGTCTTTGCTTTGTCCTTGTTGTATTCGTTTTCATTCGGTTTTTCACCATTGTAAATTCCTGAATGAGTTCCTGAATTGTCCCTCTGTTTGTGTAGAGTTTTGGGCTAGTCAGTCATTCAATAAAAAGATTAGTTGTGTTAATTACTGTAAGGAGGTCTCTGTTTCTTTTATCTAATACTCTGTTAATTGTTATCATCATCCGGTTGTTTTTTATCTTATTTGGAAACTAGGAAATTAAAAATTATTAAATTAAATTTGTAATTCGGTTTTGTGATCTGATATAAAAATGAAATAAACATAAAATACGAGGTGGTAAAGAAGGAAAAGGAAAATAGGAAGGCCTATTTAAAAAGCACTATGTCACGTTTCGCTTATCGGTCTAAAATCTAAATCTTAGAAGTGCCTGACTTTCTCTCTACGACAAAGTTGAAGCTCTCTCTCTCTCTCTCTCTCTCTCTCTCTCAACTTTTCGACACAATGGTTCTTGAGGTGATTATCGATTTACATGTGCTTCTGATTTGATTATTTCGATTTCTTCGTCGATCTCCTTGTTTGATGCTTAATTGACCACCGAATTGGATGTTTTCTGTGCGCAGGCGACTATGATATGCATCGACAACTCCGAGTGGATGCGAAACGGAGATTACTCTCCGTCTAGGTTACAGGCTCAAACGGAAGCTGTTAATCTTCTCTGCGGGGCCAAAACCCAGGTAATTTGAGCACCTATCAACGTATTTTGTCACTGGATTCGATTAGGGTTTCTGTGTGTGATTTAGGGATCTTTCTTTTGCAATTGCAGTCGAATCCGGAGAACACGGTGGGGGTTTTGACAATGGCAGGGAAGGGGGTTAGGGTTTTGACAACTCCTACCTCTGATCTTGGCAAAATTTTGGCGTGTATGCACGGTAAGTCTCTAAACGCGTTCACGAAACCTCTTGTAGTTATTCCCTGCTGAGAGCAATTGGAAATTTGTCTAGTTTTGCTATCGCTTTGTCTATGAATCTCTAAACACGTTCACGATACTTCGTTATTCCTGTAAAAGAGCAATTGGAAATTTGTCTAGTTTTGCTATCGCTTAGGTTCTTTTTGTGTAGGAATCATTGAGTTTGATAGGTTTTGAAATCATCTTTTCAGGCCTTGATGTGGGAGGGGAGATTAACTTAACAGCAGCGATCCAGATTGCTCAGCTTGCTCTTAAGCATCGCCAAAACAAGAATCAACGCCAAAGGATTATAGTTTTTGCTGGAAGGTAGTACTGAGTTTCTTGTGTGCTTAGTATTGTACTTCTTTTTCTGTATAGTTTATCTGATGTCTGTCTTGTGCTTCTGCTTTTTAGTCCAATCAAGTATGAAAAGAAGGCCTTAGAGTTAGTAGGGAAAAGGCTCAAAAAGAATAGCGTCTCTCTTGACATAGTCAATTTCGGAGAAGACGATGATGAGGAAAAGCCTCAGAAACTGGAGGCCCTCCTTTCAGCTGTCAATAACAACGATGGCAGCCACATTGTTCATGTACCATCTGGGGCCAATGCTCTCTCCGATGTGCTGCTCAGGTAATTGCATGTTGTTTGGTTTAGTTCTTTCAGCTCTGGAGTCTTAAGTTTGTATCATTGCTACAAAATTTAGCTGTTACGTCATCCAATTAAAGGAGATTGTTTTGATATGACTGTCTCTAGTCGAAATTATCTTGGCAATGTGTAATTTTTTTTGTTGATTTTCTTACAGCACACCTGTATTCACCGGTGATGAGGGTGCAAGTGGGTACGTTTCTGCGGCAGCTGCTGCAGCTGCAGCTGGTGGGGACTTTGACTTTGGTGTGGATCCAAACATCGATCCAGAGCTTGCTCTCGCCCTTCGGGTCTCCATGGAGGAGGAGAGAGCAAGGCAAGAGGCAGCTGCAAAGAAGGCAGCCGATGAGGCAGGAGGCCAGAAAGGCAAAGATGGGGACACAGCTTCTGCCTCACAGGAGACAGTTGCTAGGACATCTGAGAAGAATGCCGAACCAATGGTTAGTTGTTTCTCATATTTTGCAACAGGCAGAGATTGTTTATCTTGTATACAAGTGTTTTTACATGAAACAAATAAAATTTGTGGCAGGATGAGGACAATGCGTTGCTAGATCAGGCAATTGCTATGTCTGTAGGTGATGTTAACATGTCAGAAGCGGCTGATGAGGACCAGGATCTGGCTTTAGGTACGTAGAAAGGCTATCAAACTCGGCCTTTGCTTGTATACATTACTTAAACATAGAGAATTTGATGAATATGGTGTTGATCCATCCATGTGCAGCTCTGCAAATGTCAATGAGTGGGGAAGAGTCAAGTGAAGCTGCAGGTGCTGGAAACCTCTTAGGAGATCAAGCTTTCATATCGTCTGTTCTCTCATCGGTAAGACATTGTTTTTATCAACAAAATGAAAAAGAAAAGTAGCAAGCGTTGGTTAGTTTTGGTCTTGAATGTTTTGTGATCACACAGCTTCCAGGAGTGGATCCAAATGATCCAGCGGTTAAAGCGCTGCTAGCATCTCTGCCAGACGAATCAAAGGTGCGTGTCTCTTCCTTCATTGCCTTTTCTTTTTTACATCTTTTGGTCATTTGGTGAAGAATAATTTTTGTATTATTTATTGATATCCTAAATTGGCAGCGTAACGAGGAGGAAGAGAGTAGTAGCAAAGGTGAGGATGAGAAGAAGTGAACAAGAGACGACTTATCAATTATGATGATCTCAATAAATTTCCTCTTTGTATCTTTGGTTTGTTTCATATCGAAAGACTGCAACTGTTGAAGAACTCTTTTCTTAAATTTCTCTCTGACTTTGACCTTAGTTTGCTTTTCTTTTTTTAATGTTATTATTTTCCGTATTGGCAATATAAAAAAAATAACCAATCCGAATTGCCCAACTCTGAACCAAGTCAAAACCAAATGGGCCTGGATACCGCCCATATCCAGTCCAAATGGGTCCCGGTATCGCCCTATATCTAATCCTATTGGGCTTAACCACGACCCATATCTAATCTTATTAGGCGCAGCCGTGGCCCATTTACAATCTTAATGGGCCTGGGGTTCGGCCCATCTCCATTCTTAACGGGCCTAATTCGGCCCATATATAATCTTAATGGGCCATATCATAATTTTTTGGGCCCAAATTCGGCCCATTTCCAAGCTTAATGGGCCCGGATTTCGGCCCATATTCCGCCTTACGGGCCTAATTCGGCCCATTAACAATTTTCAATGGCCCATATCATAATGTATTTGAGCCCAAATCCGGCCCTTTTTAATATTAATGGGCCCTGGTTTCAGCCCATATTCAGCCTTAACGGGTTTTATTTGGCCCGAAGGCCTGAGACTAGTTCACGTGCGTTCGCCAACTTGAGTTTTTGATAGACCAAAATGAAATGACACAGATAATGTAAAGAGGTGGGATAATAAGCCTATCATCATTCTTTATCTACACAATAATTTAGAGTTCTTTTCTGCAAAGACAGAGGAACGAACCAAAAAGAAAAACGAAAAAAGAGCTAAAGAAGCTTCAGACAACACATTCTCATTACAAGACGCCTCCGCAAGAGACCTGGCATTCGGGGCATCTTGGGCTTTTGTGAGATCATAAATACCCAGAGCAGAATCAAAATCAGAGTCTTCTGATATTTAATATACAGACAAGGGCTTTTTTTGTCTCAACCGAGAGATGCATAAGCTCCTTATGATAGATCGAACGATCCTTGCCCTTCGTTGATGGCGTAGAGCAGTTTCTTGTACATGATTTCCTGTTTCAGGTACAACGAGGAAATTCATCAGGCTTTACACACAACAAGAGAAACATGAAAAAGACGAAAAAAAGAGACATGAAGACACTCTCACCTTTGTAGAATAAGGAGGGAGCTTAAGGTAGTTGGCGCAAGTCATTACGCTGGGAAGATCATCGTCTGCCGTCTCTGAAGCCCCCGTTCCGTTGGCCGCCGCACTTGAGGTTGATGAGTGCTGTAGCAGCCAAACACAATTCAATTTTTTAACGAAAAACCATTACATAAAAACAACTTGAACATCACACTCTTAGATATATGGTCGCTACAATTACAAACAATTTACCTTTCTCACAATTGTCAGCTTTGGATTCAGAACAGCTAAGCCACCAGGAGGAAGCCTAGGAGCTCCGGTTACAAATTGGCAGAAAGCCCTCTGTTGATCTGCTGTTAGCTCTCCCATGATCTCCAATAACTACAGTGAGTGTCGAAAAGGGATCAACACCAAAAACATAAATGATTTCTCTATAAACTCGATAAAAAGGGGCAAAGTAGCATTACGTTAACTATCGCTGGACTTTTGGCAGTATAGCCGTGATCAAACTTGATATGTTCAGCAAGAGTCTCCGCCTGCAAGAAAATAAGCTTTTAGAAAATTCTACCTTAAAAAATTTAAAGTCTGCTGTGTATCTGGAAACTAAAAAAAGTTAGAAAAATCACCTCCCACAACTCTCTTCGACCACACAGCAAGTAGTCCAACTCAGAAGGGGTGAATATTTGTAGAGACGTTATGTCAAACACCTAATAATCCATGTGCACAAAACAGAGAGGTTTTGTAAGGGCATAAGCGCAGGTCAAAAGGTTTGAGGCCAGATTAAAACAAAAGTCTCTAACCAACAGAAACCAATCTTACTTATATTATTTACAAGTCAAAGAAACAGAGTCCGCTTACCTGATTGAATCCAGATCTGAAGGCTTCGATCTGCCGGGCGACACCTCTCTTGACAGTAGCTTCAACAACCATGGATATATACTCCTCAAGACTATTAATATCAACCTGTAACAGACACAACAGCACGGAATCAGCAAGTATGGACAAGGACTAAAAGATTAGTAAGACGTGTGGGATGTAAGCTTTAGACAGTACAATTTCATCTCCTGGTCTCAGAATGTATTCAGGATAGCCAGGTAGCGTGAAGTCCAAGCAGAGATCTTCTATACGGGATCCACGTAAGAATAAATCAGATATTGCGCTGCTATTGCCACCACCTACTGCCTCCAGATAGTGCTTACGGCTAACAAGATCATGAAGCTCTTGTAAAGTCTTGCCAAGCTCAGCATCAAATAGTATTATATCATGCAAATCAAGCTCCTGCTCAAGTGAGGAAAATAAATTATTATGAGCAAGTGCTAACAAAAGTTAAAAAAGTAGAAACCACTATTTCACTCTTAACTAAACGAAAGAAATCACTCTCACCTGTCCAAGAATCAGCTTATAAAACGCTGTACTCAATGAGACGTCCAATAGCCGTCCATCCTGAAGTGCTTTTGCCATCACACGCCCTAAAAGGCGGAAATATTCAATAACTTTATGAAACTGACTACCTTCAGATACGTCAGCTGATGAGGGCCAAGGTCGAGGAAACAACCCAAGTGGTGCCTGAACTATATCTCTGTCCGTAGCTGCAGATGATTTCCCGTCTTCAATCTCATCTCTATCAATTTGCATAGACACCTTGTCACCAGAATTCGATCTCCACATCCCAAGGGAAACCTTTTGCAGATCATGGCTCAGGAGTGTGTAAAACTCAAGTGTAGGGCCTAGACCGGTACCAACTTCCCCAAAATATTCTACTTCAAGCACAGCTTTTTGGCTAGAATACATCTCCATAACCTTCGCAGCGGAATCTAATATCCTACTTCGGGATACACGGACTTTTTGGCGCTGCAATCTCCCTATTCTCATCTCTCGTTCATTTGTAGACCCACTGCCATCAGCACCTTGCTGCTGCTGCAAGCGATTCAACGCTCGAGACAACCCAAAAGCAGTTGAGTAGAAATACTGTCTCCTCGTCTGAAATGGAAACAAAAATGGGCATGCTCTAGTCAACTGGTAGCACCACGAGGGAAGACTTCCACTGCACAAAGCAAGTGCATCCTGGATCTGTCGAGCTAACTTGGGTGTAAGTTTGCTATTGATGAATTCTTCATTAGGAACCTTAGCAGCAATTGTGCTCAGATCATCTAGGCTTGTAGTTTTACCCTCTGCAAATCGATCAGAAACAGTTTGGGCTCTTAAACGAGGGCCAAGCTGATTTAAGCCCTCTAACACACGCAACAAGGCCAGAACATTATACGTAGAATTAGTCTTCTCAAGGTCGCATGGAAGCTCCCCTTGTAAGATACTATCCAAAAGAGATGCCCTATCTGACTGAGATTCTACGCTGGAATTGGTAGTAGCAGATTTAGTGGATTTTGACGGTGAGGTAGTAGAGCTTGCTCCACCAACAGACAGCCTATTCGTTTGGCTATCCGGCTTCTGGTACATGATAGTGTAAATATCACTGAATCTGCTTCCATCGCTTGAGGTGAAATCGCTGCCACCAAACCTTTCATCATCATCTTCATCTACCATAAGTTGTCGCTGCACAGCCTGATAAATAGTCAAATGCCTACTAAGTTGCTTCCCTCCCGCAGTAAATATCAACTTAGAAGGCTCATCAGTACTTCGATGTAGGGTACGCCCATGCAAGTCTCTACTTCCTCTGATACCTCTACCACTGGCAGCTCCAAGCCCAGCCATCGCAGCTGCAGCAAAGGATAGTGCACCCCTGGAACCATAAGAAATCCCAATGCCCGCATCAGTAGAATTAGATCCCCTAGCGACTCCTGCTCCACTAGTGCCTCCTGAAACTGGATTCATCTGTCGGCCGCTAGTTGCAGCCCCAGAACCGTCACCATCCACTGCGTCCCCCAATTTTACATCATGCACTTTATCAGGCGTGCACATCGGAAGACTGTCATCCAAAACCTGGAAATGAATTTATATATAATTGTAAAAGACCGAAGGTATTATTAAAGAAATAAACACCACGTAACCTAAAAAGTTATACTGATTGATAGCAGCCAGATAAATATGAGAAATAGTGGCACAGAGCTAGTAGTTATCTTTGGTTCTAAAAGGAAAAATTCCAAATGAGTTCCATTTAAAAAATAACAACAGGAAAGTGCAAAACTCAACATGGTTATATAATCCAAAAATATGGAAGCTGGCAAGCATTATTGCGAAATGTAATGATATTAGCAAAAGAAACAACTGCGAAGTGGAGTGTAGTGAACAATGAACATACTGGGGAAAAAATGAAGGAATACTTACATCTTCATTATCATCATCTTCATCATCAGAAATGTCATCCTCTTCAATCACCAAGGTATCATCAATATCGACAGGGGATATATCCAATTCCTCATCCTGCAAGGCACACAAGTACGATAATGTTGCATAAGCAGAAAGTCCAACCATGAAAGTCCAAAAGTTTGTACAGTATCATACCTCAGAGCTGGAGTCTCCGCTAGCTGGTTTCATTTGTGTATCTTTTTCAAGGACAGCTCTCCTTTGAGCACTGCTCCTTGTTTGAGGCCCCTTATCTGCATGAGCCGGCTTCATGACACCTTTACCTTTTCCTTTCGATGAGCTGGTACCTTTCTCATGCACAGGTTCTTTCTTTGAGGTATCACCTATATTAATTGCTGATCTAGATCTAGAAGACTGACGACGAGTGGTAGAAGCTGGAGTTGACGACGATGGCGATGAAACCCCAGCACCGCTAGGTAACGTGCCTGGCTCTGTATTTCCAGCAGGAGCTGCTGGCTTCAGACCAGATTCACCACGTTGTACACGGGGCCAAAGAAATTCCTCCACCGCTGCTATGCTTGCCAGTGGATCTATAAG